TCGCTTATGCGAGCACAACGTTATCCCCAGCGGAGAAAAACTATTCTGCAACCGAGAAGGAATGCCTCGCTGTTGTCTGGGCCATAACAAAGTTCCGCCCATACTTGTATGGCCGTCCATTCAGGGTAGTTAGCGACCACCATTCCCTTTGTTAGCTCGCAAATCTCAAAGATCCCTCAGGTCATCTATCACGATGGATCCTTCGGCTACAAGATTTCGATGTCACCATTGTCCACAAATCTGGGCGGAAGCACACCGACGCCGACTGTCTCTCACGTGCACTGGTCGAAAATGCCAACACTGACCATGAAGACGACGACACTTTTCTTTCTGCCGTATCAGCAACACCCTTGGCTGAGCAACAGCGTCACGACTCGGAGCTCATTCCGCTCATTGACTACCTGGAAGGACGCAATTCCCACCCTCCTCGAAGATTTGCACGCTCGCTATTCTCCTTTTGTTTCCGCGATGGAGTGCTTTACAAAAAGAACTTTCATCCTACACAAGCTATGTATCTGCTTGTTGCGCCAACTACGCTTCGTGGTGACATTTTACGTGCGTGTCATGATGAGCCATCGTCCGGACACCTCGGCTATACGCGCACGCTGCAACGAATTCAACGCTCCTACTACTGGCCATGTCTCGCAAAGACTGTGAAGCATTACGTTCGCACATGTCGCGACTGTCAGCGACGTAAGGTTCCACCTTTACGACCAGCGGGACTACTGCAACCAATAGGCCCACCAAAGGCGCCCTTTCATCAAATTGGCATGAACTTGCTGGGGTCATTCCCCACGTCTTTGTCTGGAAACCGATGAATTGTGGTCGCTACCGACTACTTAACACGCTACTGTAAAACGAAGGCGCTTCCAATAGCAACCGCAGCAGATGTCGCCCAATTTTTCGTGAACAGCATCGTTTTACGCCACGGTGCTCCAGCTGTCGTCCTAACTGATCCTGGGGCAGCTTTCACCGCGGAGATGCTGCAGGAAGTCTTGAGATTAAGTGGCACGGAACATCGTAAAACAACGGCTTACCACCCGCAAGCAACGGGCTGACTGAACGACTCAACAATAAAATTGCAGACATGCTGTCAATGTATGTGGACATCAATCACAAGAACTGGGGCGCCATACTCCTTACGTAACTTTTGCGTATAATACTGCTGTTGAAGAAAGTACCGGTTTCACACCTTTTCGCTCAGTCCACGGTCGCGAGGTCACGACGATGCTTGACGCCATGCTCCTGCCGGACAACTTAGGAATATAGCGCACCGATGCCGCCAAATTCGCGGAGTGTGCAGAAAAGGCCCGTCAAATTGCTCGTCACCGTATTCAACATCACCAAACCGCAGACGCATGCCGCTACAATCTTCGTCACCGTGAAGTTATTTTCGAGCCCGGTGATGAAGTCTGGGTGTGGACCCCTATCCGACAACGCGGCCGTTCAGAAAAAGCTTCTTCGCCGCTACTTCGGCCCTTACAAGGTCGTACGACGTCTCAGCGACGTCACATACGAGGTTCTCTCAGAAGGCACCTCGAGACGTTCCCGTTTCACCCCGCGAACTGAAGTCGTTCACGTTTCACGGCTGAAACCATACTTTTTGCGCTTTGAATCGCCAGTGAGTGACTGACTTTATTCGTCTCTCCCTTACATTCTTTCATATTTTTCATATTTCTCATTTAACTCTTGGCTCAACAACCAACTATGTTATTCCGCCTTACGCCATTCGTTTTGCTTGCATGGTAATTTTCATCTCATTTTTTTTTGCCTTCATGTACAGCATCGAGACGATGCTTCTTAGGAGAGGGGGTAATGCCACCATTGATGAACGAGCCGCTGTGGCTCATACCCGTTTTGGGCTACGAAGAAGAAGAGAACATTTTCGTTGCTCTGGTTCGGGTGAACTCCTGGCTGCAGGTCTTGTTCTTGCTCGCGACAATATTTTTTAAAGATACAATTTTTAATGCCTTGCCGTGATCTGCGGCTATTGTTGAAAGCCACGTCATGATAAGAAATTGGGCACTAGCCAACCGGGGACGCAGGCGGAGCAGTTACTTTCCGACTTTCTGGTTTGAGTCCGTGTTCTGAGATGTTATATTCTTGGTACACAGGCAGACCACATGACATGCGCTTCTGTATAACCTCGGTTCGCTCATGTTACACGGTGCGGGAGACCGCGCCTGTGACCCTAACCATCGCTATGAGGAATCCAACTTGGCAACCTCGGCTAGGTGGTAAACCGAAGAAATGGCAGTGTCCACTAAGGTGCCGTGAGCCGCCTTTACCGAGGACGTTGCGACGCTGTGTAACATTGGCAAATAATGTTTTACGCTAACCACGCTTAATCGCGGGTAACCATAGTTGGTCGTAAACTGCAGTTAACTTGCTTGTGTACCAAGAAGATTAGTACCTCTCACCCCCCCACCGCCCCGCCACCAACTTCTGTGCGCTTATCGGGTCTTGTCAGCTGCAAGTTAGATAACGAATTGTGTCCAAGAACTTAACGCTACCCGTCCTTCAATGAAGAGAAAAAACAAGCTTTCCAGTAAGCAGAAAAAGCTTTGTCTGCGGCTCCTCAAAATTTGTGGTTTTCACCAGCAGTTGCACTGGCATTGGCGAAGATTTGACGATTGATTAATATGTGAGGTTTAACGTACCAAAACCACCATATGATTATAAGAGACGCCGTAGTGGAGGGCTCTGGAAATTTCTACGACCTGGGGTTCTTTAGAGTGCACCCGAATCTCATCACACGGGCCTACAACATTTCCACCTCCATCGGAAATGCAGCCGCCGCAGCCGGGATTCGATCCCACGACCGGCGGGTCCGCAGTCGAGTACTTTAGCCACTAGACAACCACGGCGGTGCGAAGATTTGACGCCAGGTACAAACACAAAAGGTAGGACGGAACAGTTGTGCCTTATTATAGACCCTTGATTTGCGAAGTTAAAGCACCGTGGTTGCTACTTCAAATCGTCGCTATTTTTTTGTGCCTTCCATTGTTGTGATCGAGCTTCATGAAGTTTGTTATTACATCACCATACCTAATTTTGTTTTATGAACAGCGCTGTCAGTCATTTAACTGCTCCAGGCCTTGAACAAATGCAAATAATGTCTCTAAGGCATCGTTCATGCCGACTCACTCACACTCACAAACAATGCCGTGCCGACTTGCACAAGAACTTTCAAAAGCCGTGTTGCCTTAGTAAAACAGAACACATTCAGTAAAAGAGTATATCACTGGGCGAGCTTGTACACTTTGAAGAATGCGTTTCAAACGACTTTTCTGGTAATCGTCATCTTTATAAACGTGGTTATTGTGTGTAGTTTTACTGCTGTTGCACTCAGCTGTAGAGGCAACCTCCCACCTCAAAATCGTAGCGCAGCCAATAGAAAATCAGGATATTCGGTAAAGAATTTCGCAGCTTACAATTCAGTATACTCGACGATAATTCGAATGCAGTGGTTTCGTTCGCTTGGGCAGTCAAGAAGTCCGCCCCTGAGCTCCTGAAAAACCCCAGGTGCCTCAGCGAGTGCAACAGCATCAGGGCGATGGCCATATAAAAATATTTACGCAAGGTGCACTGAGTTGTATGGTGCTATAGGTAATATAATGCGCATTAAGCGCATCGACCCGCAGCCTCGTGGTCAGAAAAAGATTACATAGAGACTTGTTTGCGAGTGCTCGACGTTACGAATATTATTATGAAAGTTTATATCCAAGGCAAGTATTTAGGTGCGAACGAAAATATCATGCCACGACAACGATAAAGAGTCGTTTTGCAGAAATTTCCGTGTCTGCATGGGCGTCAATATGATTGGTTTTGAAAGAATTCTTATAATATTGTCTGGGGCCAAAGATCGAGAACGGTGTTTTTTGAAATTCGTGATAAAAACCTTCAGTGTGAGTGCGAGTTGAACGCAGGCCATCTGCGTAGCAAATAGGTCTTCCACAACAGAGCCGAAATATTGCTTGAAACAGCATTGAAACGTCACGTCAACAACGACAACAACAAAAGACTACCTTATGAGTGTTATGTTTGGAAACCAGTCTCTGTAACGTACGCAATACTACGCGGCAGAGGCACGAAATTGCATAAGGTATCAAAACATGTAATTTAAGCAAATAGTGGGTATATTTGAAAGGCCCACCCATTACAAAGCGATCATAAACGCTTAATGACCATCAATCGCAAACGCACCAACAAAGTGGGCAGCTCGATTATTGCCTTACGGACGCATAGGGGGCCGAATGCCTACGCCGTAGTGGACAATTGACAGCTGTCCTTGCCATGTGCATTTTAGGGTAGTTTAAAACTGCTGATGCTACGCGCGCAGGCGTTCGTTTTCTTGCGGCGCGGTTGAGGCATGCAGTGAGAACCAAAGCTATATGCAAGAATTTCAGGTTAGTTGCAAGAGGCTTGGTTACAATATCCTATTCCAATGCATTATTACGAAGGTGAGTAGTTAGGTTACACGTTTAAGAACTATACAAAAGGTGGGAAGATTTGAAATAGATACAGATACGAAGCTACCGAATGTTCTGTAGTATTGGATGCGGCCAAATCAACATTTTTTCAAGAAAATTGGAAAACGTGTAAAATTTCTATGGTACTGGCAACAATTATTTGTGATATAAAAATTAAAGGGCGTGAATATTGATATGAACATCTTTTTCTACAGGAAGTTATGCCCATTTAGCTAAACCTAAACAAATCATTATCAAACCACTCGCTCAGGAAGTGAAATAATTTACTAAGCAAGGCACCGTTTCCTTCATGGTTTATGCCCCAGAGTAGGCTGCACCAAAATGTTGAAGTACCAACAAACCAAGGTTTGTAGCACTATCATGGTGCGTGAGCATATAATGAGTTTTTTTGATGATGTTGTTTAAGAAGAAAGGAGGTAACCTTTATTTTAAGTTAAAGTGATCATGGAAGTTATCCAAAAGTAACTGTTTGCTTTTGCCATATATTTAACAAAGACGCATATAAGCAGGTAATCATTAAGGACAATGTTTATTGTATGTCACACAGTGTGGAGGACACAGTAAAGTATGCCACATTAAGCAATATGATAATGACAAGTTCTCACCATCTCTTAAAAACCCTTTAGAATCACATACAGAGAGAGGCTGCACCTCATGCGCATCTATAGACTTTAAAAAAAGTTCTTTTACATAATACCTACTGTGGTTGCGTGCGTGCATACGGAGTCCATAGCTTCAGCAATCTGCGGAAAATTGTATGATGACTCACATATGTTCACCAAAACCCACAGATGCCCAAGAGCGTAGGGGTTCTTCGAAAGATTGAAGCACCGATCACTAAAGTGGCGTACTGTCTTCTCGTAACAGTCGAAGTTGGTTAGCCGCCTCCTTGAAGTGAGCAACGATTCCCCGTCTACGGGGTTAAGCTGAGCCAGAAAAGAGGTGATCTCAGCGACTTTATTCTTCAGGAATGATCGGTTCTTAAGAGCTTGCAACAGCTCTCTCTTCAAAGACTTTTTTTCATGAGGCTTGACCGCACTTGCGAGTTTCTTCCTCAGAATAGCAATAGGGACGTCCCTGCTGGAGACGGCGTCATACGGTACCTTTGGTAGCACGACTGGCTTTGCCTCATTTTCGCCCTGGAATTCACTGACTGAAAGCTTTCCGATGCTTAAATCACCATACTCCATGACGTGACTGGTGTTTGTTTCCTCTTTTACTATGTTGAACTGGTCGATGAGCGTCTCCTTGTGTAGGTCTTCCTTGTCAGAATCTTCCATCCAGTTCACGCTGTACACGTCACCCAGGTATGTCTGCCTCTTGTCGTCCCAATAGCAAGCGTACGAAGACTCGTCAGGGTTGGCCGCGGTCGTGGCGTACACGTTGACGTTGCCAGGGAGGAGGCCGTCGAACATTGAGCCGGATTCACAGGCCTCGATGTAGATGGTCATCTTTGCAAACTTCTTCTGCTTGTTCATTCTTTTGATGACTTTCATGAATGGCTTGGCGTGAAGGTCTTCGTTCGGAAAAGCGATAAGACCGGGCGCTCCATGATCCGCGAAGTTTACAAAGATGTGGTCGTTTGGCCCACTGGCTATAACTTTTGCGCTGCCACCTTTGACCTTCTTTCCTTCGAGAATGTCGAGAAAGTTCTGTGGGGTGACCGTGTCTCCCGTGTAGTCCTTAGGGACGCCCTGGTAAACATCTTTACCCTGAGGGTGATTGATGATCACTCCTGGCGTTGGGTTTTCAGTAGCATTGGCGATGTCATCGTACATCATGACCACAATACGTTCGTCGGGAATGCCATGGTTGTGCAGCACGTGGTAGGCATGGCAGATGTCGGCCTGGTGCCGGTAGTTATAGAAGCCGTTTGAACCAGCCACGAGGAGGGCCCAGAGCTTTGGTTGGTCGTCGCGTTCATTGAAGTTCTGGGAGGCAGCACCTACCATTGACGCAACGGCGGCTAACGCTAGAAGAATGTACCGCAACTCCGCCATATTTGCAGCCTACAGTTGCGGTCCGTTTCCCTGGACCCTTTTAAATAGAAGAAACGAATAGCAATCTAGCGGATCTGTCGGCGTGATGGAGGTACGCCCCCTGTGATAAGGCATGTGACTGCGCCACTTGCAGGTGATCATATATAAGAGCATTGTCCACATGTGAAATCAGCGCATCCACACGTCAAAGAAAGCACTATAACAATGGCCTATACTTCGTTCGCGTTTATCAACGGCCACGATAGTGAGTCGGTATCAGTTAGTGGCTTTTTGTTGGCCTGATTGCTGTAGCTGTGGCAAACGTTGCATAAAGAGAAGCGTGTACGCACTCTTCGGAATTAATTCCGAACTTGGTAGCAGCAGTGAATTATTGTATATGCGGTTTAGGCCGTGGATACATTAAAATCGAAATTTATAGACGCATTGATAACTCACTTATGTTGTTGGTGTTAGATTGACTCAGAGAAGTGTAATTACGTTCACAATAATATTTGTATGTTCTTTTTGATGATTATTATCGGTCTTCACAGATTTCTTGAGGGTATACATAAATGCTTAGTAATGAATAGGATGAAGTGTGTATGCACGTTAGGCATGCAAATTTTTTTGCTTGAGTTGTGGCCTACTTCTTACAAAGACGCGAACGGGAAAGAAAAATCGCGTTGCTGCTTTGGCGTTCTCGCACCAGCTCATCACAATGTGGATATCTCACCTCATGTCGTTTGTTTTACATCAATTCACCTGAGTATATACTAGCTGCGTTGTCTTGTGAACGGGCTTGTGACCTACTTAAGCAAACTAAAAAAAATAAAAGCAATATGAACGACACTTTCATGAACACTCGAGACTATTGGGATGATAAAAACTTAAAAATAGAAACCTGAGGCCACACTGTTATGCCACCTCTACTTGGGTGTTGCATTCACAAAGGCGTTTTCCTTTCGCATTGGTATGGCAGACGCCTCTACATGAGACTTCTGCGGAGCTGAAAAAGACAATCGAACACGTCCTGTGCAGCTGCCTTTGCTACGACACCCAGCGATGCCAGCTCCGGATAGTTTAGAACGTACCGGACTCTGTGCAGGTGATTCTGAGAATTTGGGCATGTGCCTCAATAGCACAAAAAGCGACTAACGTGCTACTACAGTACTTGAACACAACAAACCTGAGCGACCGCCTGTAGACTTTGTGTGCTCCCTCAAATGTGCTCGTGATTGTGTGTATCTTTCTTCGCTCTTTCCTATCTCTTTTCGCCCCCTCATTTCTTCCCCAGTTTAGGGTAGCAAACCGGACGTGTGTCTGGTTTATCTCTCTGTATCGTCTTGCATCTATATCTCTCTTTCTCTCTCTCGAACCTATGAACATGACCATCACATATCAATGAAGCTATATCCGCTGAAAATATCAAGTAATGTTGCACTCTGTATTTTGACCTGTGAACAAGCATATTGCTTTGGAAGCAATGAAAGTATTGTTAGCCTCACATTTGCACTAGCCACGTATTTCCTCATACAGTTATAACAGATTTGAAGAGACACGATACGCAAACGACCGCTCGGCAGGAACTTTTCAAATACGTATTATGGAGATCTGTAATGCTTTTTTTGTTCCAAAAAATGCTCACTTTGAAAGTAAATTACATTTTAGTGGTCCGCGAACTGTTAACGTAATTCGAGCCATCCGCTTCTAAAGGACTTGTGACATTTGCACTCCCCAAGCCTACTGTGGTTGGCTCTACGCCAGCACTTTGATTTATCTGGCGACATTGCGAATCCAAAAATGCTTCCTATTTTCCTTGATTTCGTGCATTTCATTGGCTGCTACTTCTTGCACTGTAATGTGAAGTTTTTCGTGAAAGTTATAACTACAGTGAGGCACTTAATACTCGAATACTGCTGCGTAAGGAGGACTCAAGTGCGAGATAAACCTCCCGGGGACTAGTGAGGATTGCGGATTACGTGGCCCCGCCCCAGGGGGGAGACGGAGACCTTTTCACAGACAAGCTACATCACTCAGTAATGGATACAGTGGAATTTCAGGGAGGTATTTGTTCCTGAAGAATGTGGCACAGCGCTGACAGTTTCGTCGTCAGCTATTGGTGAATTGGGCGGTACACGCCAGCAGACGGTAGTCGGGTAACAGTGGCCTCCACCCCAGTTCGCCTCATCCGCATGAGCGGGAGAGTATGGGTGGGGAATTTTCATAGCAGGCTGACGTCGCCAGGCTTCACCTGTGTACCGAGAGGATTTGTCCCCCGTGCGAATACCCCTGCGGTTTTGGCCAGCAGCATGCGATCCGGAGGTCGGAGTGAAAATAATGATGGCCCACGTGGGTGCGTGTATTTCTGCGTCTATAATTCGGCCAGCCTGTGTTGGCGCCACCGGTGCGTCATGCCGTATAACTGAGACAAGATCAAGTTCTCTTAGCTTTGTGGTTTCACTTGTGTGGTCCACGATGGTTCAGTGGTCATCCCTTTCAAAGAGTCGTGCAGAGAGCACCCGAATACTCATTCGGCTCTGAGGAGTGGAGAGGGATGGTCCACAAAAGCAGTCACAAGAATAATATGTAGATCTTTCGACTAACTTTTTTGCGATAGAAAGAACTAAAGAACAGAAAAGAAGTACCTAGATGAGCTAAAAGTATTTTTCGTTAACTTTGACAGTGTTTTTTTTTCGTAAAATGGTACCATTATTGCTATGAATTACCATTTATATATTAGTTATAATTGCATGAGAGGCACCTCAAGGATGACAACGAAATGAAAGGTGAAACACAGCATGAGAACCAAGAAAATAAGCACTGCTAAAACAAAAACAAGTGGAACTATCCTGCATTGAAATCACAACTACAGTGGATATGATCGTCATCGGTTTCATGCGCTACCATTTTTCGCTCATGACAAATATTCTCGTCATTTTGTTAGAAAATGTCGTAAATACTGTGCCCATCAACGGTCGTGAAACGTAATACACCTTTCTTTGAAAAAAAAAACGGAAGTATTTACTTATTCTCCCATTTCCTTCATATTTGACAGCGGCATCCTGACAAGACCTTCATAACAGAGTTTTCAGCAAGCAGTAGTTTGAATGCCACGTAACTCGCATTGCTTAAGTCATGACTTATTTCGTAGTCCTCAGCATTAAAATGCAGTGAGCACACTAGTAAGTTTATTTTGCTTCATCCCTCTGAAGCACAAGTGCGCCATATCGAGCGTTAGATCTTTCCGTGGCAACCATTGGGCAGTCGTTCATTCCGCTGCTGCAGATGCTGCTTGTCGAGTGGTACCTCACTCGGGCATGAATGACCATTTGCCTTTTCCGTCCCTTTTGGTACCTTTGAAGGCCCTAACAGAGCGTACGCAAACACGTGACATTGCGCTCGGAAACACAACTTCTAACTTGTCCATTCTCGCCTCTCGTCAAAGAATTCAAAAGTTGAAACGCATGTGTGCATTCGTTTTTTGGTGGGGAGGGGGGAGGGGAGCTTGTATTTTTTCACGTGCTCACTTTCTCTTATAGAATAAAGAAAAAAAGAGATGCAAACAAAGCATTGTGGTTCAGTAAAACTTGCGGCTGGCTGAGTTAGTTCACATTTCAAGACGGACAGGTAAGCGAAAGCTGAAGAGACGTACACATAAAAGATGACTTGTCGCTCTCCTTTCTTCTATGTGTCCTTGTCTTCGATTTGCGCACGCCGGTTTTTCTCGAAACTAAAGATCATGATAACTCGCAAGCTGGTGAGGGCGGCGTAGATCTACGGTCGTAGCAAAATGTTCGCACGTTTTGCACCGACACCGAAAACATATTATTCTAAAAGGGCGTGCTACATGCAGAGGTCATGGCTGATACCAAGTGCGCCTACGTGGTAAGTAAGAGTCAGTTTATGTAATATAAGTCAGGTCTGTATTTGTTGATTTTAAGACTGGCTAAGCGGCACACACCCACACTGACACAAGTAGGCGCCCGTGGTGTTAGCGTTTCCTCAGTATGCACTTGTTTGTGTAGACCCCTTATCCAGTCTTAATAGTAACTGCCCTGCAAATAGCCATGTTAGCATCGTCGTTAGCAGATGATTCAGTCACTATTGAGAGCACCCTTGCTGAAATGAGTTTTCAATGTTGAAAACGTCAGAACAAAGAAGATAATGCGGTTAAAAAGATACCACGGCCGCAAGCACGCAAAAAAAAAAGCCAAGAAGCACGCGAAGCGTACTTGTTGTGAAACATCAAGTTAACGTGGTCAGTGTTGTCTATTTGATTTCACGTAGCATGCGTAAGGCCCTATAATTTCTTCACCGCTTTAGAGGGATGATTATTGTGTCGCGTCAGCATTCCAATAATATCGTCTCGTGTTTGCGTCAGCAAACCACTGTACCAAGTTTGAGCCAACAGAAGTTGTCAACTATAAAGTAGTGCAGTTTGTGACACATCCTCGAAAGTAACCGCACACCGTGTCAGAGTAGCTTTTAAGGAGCGAAGCTCCTTAGAAAGTCAGAATGTTTATTTGGCTTCAAGCTGACCATGCGTCGTGTGCAGTCGAAGCGTATAAAGCTGCAACACATCTGTGCGCACGGATTTCTACAGAGCGCACATTACTTTAAATATTGACCATCTGTCCATGTCTGTGCGTGCCTGCGTGCGCGTGCTATCGTCCGTTCGTACTTCCATCTGTCTGTCCTTTATACAAGTCGGTGAGTGCAACTTAGGCATTAGAAACCTCATAACCTAGCTCCTCTCCATCAGCAGTATCCACTTCATCGATATAGGTAGATTTTCGGTGTTGCTGATTGGAGGCTGGATTTTATTCATGCGAAGTTAGTAAACAAATGTGCACTGCATCTGACCTACAACAAACGTGCAAAGCACTACATTTGAGTGCCATTTGCAGAAAATGCTACCCTACGCTTGACTTCATTGTGTTTTCGGGACGAATTGTAGGTCTTCTCAGCATAAATAGACATCACTAGGAACCTGCGCCAAAGTTTTGTCGACCGAATTTTCTTACGTGCTTTCCTTGTGCACTGCTAACGAAAGTGGTGATGACAGGCTCTATGCTGCGGGGAAATAAGTGGGAGCAAGCATTT